TCTAGCGAAAATTGGTTTGCAAAGCAGGGACCAAACATTGTCCAGCGAAATTCCCCCATAGGAATCACTGTTTTGCGAATCGCTATAGAGATCGCAAAAAGTCAATGTCTAGCGAAAAACTGTCATGCGGGGTAACTGTCTAGCGAGGCACCACTGTATCCGATTGCAGAGCCAGCCGTTGGGAGTTCAGTTCCCTACCATGCCTCTTAGAGAGGGGCTGGAGTTGATGATCCACAAGATCCTCTCCAATTCTGCAGGTCTAAGATTAACCATTAGACCTGACGGCTATCTCTTCATCAATTTGAACAAAGGAGGGGGAGATTTTTGTACTAAGCAAACACTAAGAATTTTTATTCTCAAGCTTAGGCTGATAATTTTAAATTCCCATACTGTAAAAAGTTCCATTCAGGTTGACAATCCAAACTGGCCACTGCACAGCCCTCATTTCGGCTTGAACACAACACAGAAACAACGGAGATCTATGTGTTCTCATTAAACTTCACTGGGACAGCTAATGGTCTGAGCTGAGGGTTGTCACCTCAAAGCAGAAAGGTAAAGTTATCTCTCTCCCTTGTGGATCAGAAGCTACAGGTGATTTAATTAAAAGAAGAAAACAGATCCAGAGATCCAGACTCAACTATTTCCTTGACAATCTTCTTCTCACATTATGCTGGCTTTCTAGAGAGTAAAAAAAAACAAAAAACATACAAGACATTCTGAGTAGGCTGGCTTTTTATATACATAGTTTTACTGAAATTTCCTATTCCTAACTGGACTAGGTAGTGTTGTGCACTTAAAAATAAGTAAGTTAATTGTTTCCCACACTATTCAACCCTCATGTTTCTTCTGTGAGTCCAGGGGTAGAGAGTCTTTAGCCTTCTGTGTTCTTAATAGAGACTTGATAGGTTTGCTCTCAGCAAACTAAATAATGAGCAGATGGAGATAAGGGGAGAAACACCTTTGTTCTTGTTAAGAATAACAGATGAAATTAGGGGGGAAAACAATGCACATTATATAGATTTCTGCACATAGAGCAATGGATCAAAACCAGAACCATGCCCAGTTTGCCTGAATCATATCCCTTAATGTTCCTTTTTTAAAGGAAGTGTGAGAGTGTATTATGCTGCAGTGACTTTAGTTACCAGATAGTTGGGTGAACCTGCTTTCCTTAATAGTTATGAGATAGTAAGTAGGGACTCAGGGACCTTTCCTGCATCAATTGTGGGCCCATGAGGATGGGGAATGTTAGGATTTTAGCCTAATGTGGCCTGTTGTTGCTTCTGTAAGTTCCTAGTCCTTGTGGCCTGCAGCTAACTGTTTGGCAATTACTAGCTACAGTACTCAATTTCTTAGTACAGTATGGCCCCCCAACAGGATTGGTATCCGTGGCTGCACTTATCAGTGGTTTGCTGCAGTCCTATATACAACATACTGTACAAGAGTGTCCACTTGTGGCCTTTAGACCACACCCTTGTATGTTGTACATAGGGTTCCCTTGCATCTCTAGTTTCACGCATCCATGGTAAATCATGTAACTAATTCCCCCCCCCCCGGTCCAATATGGGGATGTATTGTATTCAGGAACAGGGACAGGTGCTTGTGACGTTTTTCTGCCTCATATGGCAAAATAACTTTGTTGCCTTTAGGGCAGGGGTGTACAGTTATGGTAGATCTGTGGTAATGTTCTGCTTTTGTACCTGGGCTGAAGGGCAAAGAAGGTGCAAAAAGTGAAGCCAGAAGTAAGCAGAAGATGGGGACTGTAAAAATAGCCTTGGGAGGCCTGATTCCAGGGCAGCAGTCTGCCCATTCCGACTTTAGTGACTGTCCTCTGAAGATGCCGGCCACAGAGACTGGCGAAACGTTAGGAAGAACAACCTTCAGAACATGGCCAAAGAGCCCGAAAAACCCACAAAAACCATTTAGTGACTATGTCTGAAATCCAAGTAGATCAACAGGATTTCTGTAAGTGTTGACTTGCCATTCAGAAACGGATGAACAGTTCTTTTGTGGCTGGATTTAACAGCTGGATTTGGAGTTGAGTATTTTGGCTTGGGTGAGTGGGTGGCGCTGTGAGCTGCACGGAGTCAGGCAGCAAAATGTGTTGGGCAGTCCATGGACTAAAATTAAAATTTGGAAAAGATAAGGGAGATGCAAGGCCTGCAAATCCTGGGTTCACATATTCATTGTGGCTCTCCATAGAGTTAGGAAGTGCAAGGCAAGAAAGCAAGGAAGACTTGGAACAGGTTTACACAAAGGGAAGAGGGCAGAAAAGTATGGGCATGGAAAGGGCTTCATTTTTAAATGATTAAGAACTTCTTGGACATAACAAAAATTCTACATTGAGTTTATATTCAGTGTACTTTTCACATATTTCTCCACCTGTCAGGTGGAATGGAAATGTGTTTCTAATGACAATTTTATGGTTTAGGATCAATATATATAATTATGGGCTCCATGGTTGTGTATGAGCCTTTTTGTTGTCGTTATGTTCTGTCAAGTCACTTCCAGCTTATGGCAACCCTAACAGGGCTTTTGAGGTATGTGGGATATTCAGTCCGCTCCAGCCCAGGATTATTTTTATTTATATATTTATTTAAAATTATTTAAAATATTTTCACCCCACCTTTCTCCTTAAAAAGGACCCAAGGTTGCTCATATCATTAAAAGCAACTTACATAATTAAAAAACAATATTTAAAGCTAAAAACAGTAAGTATGCAAATACTAGAAAGGATTAAACAAATATAACTTTAAGAAATTGTAACAAAAGCAATACCAAAAACACTCAAAGCATTCATTGCACAAACTCATTGTCTGAATAGGGATTTGAACCCAGGTCTCCTGAGTCCTGGGCTTACTTTATTTGGAAACAGATTGCAAAGATTCTCCTTACACACTATTGATTCTGAAGAAGGCCACCAAGTAAATTGGGTGGAATGCAATGTGTGTAGTCCCCACAAAAGGACTGCCTGTCAGCTACTTCATTCACTTTTCAGTGGCAGGTCAAGATCGTTTTATATTTCCAGACCTTTTAGACTTAATTTCAGCCCCAATGATTTGTTTTTAATTAAGCTTTTAAGATCTTCCTGCCTTTTCAGTTTTTGTCTTTTATGATTGTTCTGTTTTGTTTTACCTGTATGTAAATTGCTTTTGTGTTATGTAAACTGCCACAAAAATTTATTTGAACAAGGATGTAGGCAATTCCATATAAATAAATAAAAAGCTTCCCAAGGACCTATGAGATATCTTTGTAACACAGTAATTTCTGCACAAAAGGAGTTTCCATGCTGAAATTTTGCACTCTTCAAGAGATGCCTCCCAACAGGGCTGGAAAAGCCTAAATTACATAAGAAGTTTAAGTAAATCAGCCTTCTTTTTGTTGTTGTTCTTAGCTGAAGGTTTCTTGTATACTTGTGCTCTTGATTTATTGAACAGAACAGTTCTTGTTCTTGAGACATGAGCAAAGGGCACTTCTTATTTTCTTTATTCGCAGGACAGACTGGTACAGATATATTTATTTATATGTTTATATATATATATATATGTCTGGCATGGAGATGACCTTTTATCCAGGGTTGTGCAGCTGTAAGCAGCTGATCTTTTTAGGCTTGAGGTGAAAAGAAGATTCCCCCAGCTGCAGCACTGAAGGGGGGGGGATAGAAAAAAGGACCAGGAAACAAACCACCACACACAGGAGGACAGAGTTTGTTAGAGTTCAGAGAAGGAACAGCTTTAGGACTGAAAAGGCAGGCAGGTGCTAGTTATAGGCTGTGGTTTCTTCAGTTTGAACAAACTTAATTTTAATTTGCAAAAATAATTTGCAAATATATTTTCATTAGTGGATCTGGCATGAGCGTGGATTTATTTATTTTTATTGTTGGATTCAAAAATGTGTATATCCTACCTTTCTTTGTTCAGTCCAAAAGAGGTAACACGAGAATTATAAAATGTATGCTAAAAGACCATACTCTAGTAAAAAGAACAAACCAGATAAAAATACAAACACTTTCTCCCATGCCACGATTCCAGTCAGGATCCAGTTCAGGACACTTGGAAATCAATTGTCTGTTTGTTTGTTTGCTTGTTTGTACGTAAGGAAACACAGGGATATGTGATATTAGATCTCCTACATCTTGCTTAGTTCCACCCTTCTATATTTTCTTTGCTCTTTTCTGGTGTGATTGGTCCCTATCACCCTTGTCGCTAGATAATTTTCACTTGTTATTGTTATATGCCGTCATGTTGGAGGCTGCTTCCGTGTGGCAGTGCTCCACTGATCTGGCTATTTGCACTCCCACAGTTTGTAGTAACTTTGCACCAATTGCTGAAAAGTATATGATGCCATTATGGAGATGTAGCATATAATTGGGGCAAATTATGCAAAGTGTAATGCTACCATTGCCATACAGAATTATGGTGGGTGACATCTTTTGAACTGGTGCATAGAAGCAGTCCTGATTTTGTAACAGCTGCAGAGCAGAAGTGGTTCAGAAGGGTTGGCACCAAGCTTGTGGCTGGGACATTGTCCTGCAGAAGCACCATCACTCTATCACATTTGGCAGTCTTTAAGAAGTCACAGGCTCATTGGTTTGTTTTGCCTCCTTTAGGGCACATTTATTATTGGTGCTGCTTTTGTCATTCTCTGTTTATATGTTATTGATTTGTTATTTGTCAGTTCTCATTTAAGCCATGCTAACAAATGTAGATCTCAATGACTGAAAAAAAAAATTCCACTACATTTCTTAAGCCTTCAGTCATCGTAACAGTAGTTATAAAATAACATGCTGCCCTGAGTCCAGTGGCCTGTGTGTGGATACAGGTGCTTACAAAGGTTCTAGTTGTAACAAATGAGAAAAAGGCTATGTTGTGAAGTGGATGGGGAGATAAAAGCATTGTGCAAAGACAAATCTGTGCAGTTAATACTGGATTACTCCCTTATTTGTATTTTCTATGCCTCATATGTTTTTTTTGTGTGTGTGTGTTTGTTTTTTGGTATATTAGGGATGGAGAGAATCTTTGTGCATGCTGTTGTACCACTGGAAGAAAGGAGAAGACGCAAACCAAGGATATTCACAGAGCCTTCTGGTAACAATTGTAATTGTGGATAAGAACAGAGAACTTTGATCTGTGTTACCATCCTTTCAGCTATTTTATACATATCTTTTGGAATGCTGCTAGATAGAAAGGTATATGCAGTTCTTGTTTCTTTGCCTCACAAATAATATAATGGAGCTGGAGTAAGGACAGAAAAGGACTTCTAAAATTATCATGTAAAAATTGTTGGGAAAAATAATGAGGCTGCAAGACACTGAGATAAGTGGTTCAAATATATTTTATCTAAATCTCTTAGGGAAGGGTAAACGGGAGTCCCTAAGAAATATGATTGCGATTAATCTGTGATTTTGAGTGGCAGGAGCTGGTAGCATTCACAATAAGTCTTGAGTTGAAATGCGGCTTGTTTTGGGCTTGTGCCGTTGCCAGGCCACACAGTTAACTTTCCTCTCAAAGTGTGTGCACTACGTAGACTGTTCTCAATGTTTGCTGAACATGTGTTGTATTAAATAGGTATTTCACAACAAGCCGCCCCCAGATAATAAATAAACTCAGGGATTCACGACGTTGAGGTTCTGATGCATATGTTGGGTGGGGAAAAGTTGTTTAGGGAACATCAAAGATCCAGCTCCCATGCCACACCAGAGGACACTACTGCCAGGCTGCATCTCTCTATCTACGTAAATTTCCAAGACTTGTACTGCCTGGCAGGAGGCGTCTATGAAAGAGAATTGCTAATTCAGTGCAGTTGTTTGGGGGCGATTCCCCTGAGTCCTCCTAGCTTTACTATGCTATGTGCAAATCCTTTACCTTCTATAGATACTGAAAAACTAGGTCAGTGGAGGGAGAGAGTGGGGGAGGGAAAAGGGAATAACCACCAAGAAGTATACATGAATCATTGTGAAGGAGCCTTGGTGACAGTTAGACATTGGTACAGGTCTGATATCTGCTGATAGTTCAATATCTGGAAGAGGTCAGTTTAAACCATGCACTGCACGTGGCACTGCTCATTGCTACTTAATAGGTGCTCAGTATGTTTTAGCATGTGTTCTGTGACTGCAGCGCTGAAAACACACTGTCTGTTCACTGAACAGAAATAAGCATCCACATAGCCTAAATTAACCGTGCTCGCATTTATAACCTTTGGTAGGTAACAGATCCTATGCTCTGTTAGTGACAGTGAAGGAAGCCACACGGGGCTATACACTTGTTCAGCCAGCTGCTAAAAGCCAGCAATATGTTTTGCTTCTCCAGTCACGATCCAAGCAATGTGCACCATCACCTATAGTGGGACTCACGATTTTCCAGTCTTTCTTAGTGTAATTATAGCAGCAAAGAAACAAACCTGTGCATGGTATTGCTACAGAAGACTTCACTTGGACCCAGATTTGCACCATATTCTATCTGTTTGTTTAGGGGGTTGGTGCTACTTGGGTTGTGCTCGTGGCCACTTTTGCTCTCCATTTTTGCCTCATCTTCTGGTTGCTGTTAGGGTGCCTATTTCTCTGGCATGAAGGGACACATAATTCATGTTGCAGCATCCAAGCAGGGAACAACAAGACTGAACTACCAGTACACACACCCCTGACAGCCACCTCATGCTTGGTAGCAAATTTAGAGTAATAAAATCAGGAGGCAACGTTAAGAAAAGTTGTACTCAGAATCGGCTTGATATGTCCCCTAGTGGCCCCACCACTCACCAGCCGTGCAGCTCGATTCTGGACCAGTTGCAGTCGCCGGACCGTCTTCAAAGGCAGCCCCATGTAGAGCGCATTGCGTGTTGCAGTTACCCAAGGATGGGAACCACTGCTATAGCAGATGTTTCAGGAGTAACAGTCTATTTTAAAGTTATTGAGGTGTACAATAGTGATATGATATCACAGTAAAATATTTTCCCATCAGAAGGCTCATGGAGAAACATCTTTAGAGTTTTACATTGACGATTGGAGGTCCTTGAAAGAGCCTAAACATGGTTGTTGTTCTTGTTATTTAAAATAAAGTTATATTTGACAAGCAATGCACCAAGTAGGAATTTATATTTTTACTGATGTAGTAAGTAATGCTTTATAGTTACCTTTTAAATTTAATTTTAAGGCTTGTGCAGCAACATTTTGAATGTGATTTTTCAAGTTTTATTTCATTCTCATGTGAGTCCTAGGGATTTTAAAATCAAAGGCCCCAAAATAAAAATGTGACAGGTTCCTTACCACAGTTAGCAAGGTACTTTTTAAAACTGTGCAACAGAGTTGTGAGTTATAATTTAAATGCTGTGCCGAGAAATAGGAGTGAATCAGTTTTAGAACACAAAATTTCTGGTACTGTATCTGGTTGTAGAAAATAAGAATTTTTTTTTCTATTTAAGGTATGTGGAAGCCCTCTGGGAAGGCACAGCAGGGAGTATTAACTCTGGTACTGTTTGCATGAGCAAAGAGTTAAGGGGGAGGAATGTTAAATGGATGTTTGAAACTGCAGTTCAGTTCAATTCAGTTCTTTAAAGTGTGTAAGAAATTAAAGAAAAAAATTTACTCATCTGGCCCTTGGAGAATTGGATGTGGCCCAGAGCTGACCAATGAACCTCACCTCATCCTTAATTCCCAAAATTATACAATGACTATATTGAATTTTAAAAAATTCATTGGAGATAAATGGGATAAGAGGACGTGGAACAAATGCACAATGAAAGAAATAATGCATTCAGGCTACATTCTGCTGGAGATACAAAATAACCTATTGATCAACCAACCTGGGGAATGCTGAGTTATTCTGCTGCTAAGAGGCTAGTGGTGGACAAAAGAGGAGGTGGATCCTTATCCCTCTCATCAGGATGCTGCTAAGAGGCTAGTGGTGGACAGGAGGTGGATCCTTATCCCTCTCATCAGGTGACAGCTATTTTGCTATTGTGCTATTAATAAAGAGCAAAACTCTCTGAGGGTAAGGCTGCATTGGAGAGTTGAATCAGAATAATTAGGCTTTGTTGCAATTTGACTTGCAGCCTGTATTATGTCTGAAATTGTAATCACTGTTCACACAGAGGCTATTGTTTGTACACAAGCCAGGTAGAACTTCCTTTACTCAGCCAAGTGTCCCCTCGAGGGATCCTCCCCACTCAAGCTTCAGACTACTATATTTCTGAAAACCATTTATGTAGAAAAATAACATGGAAAAGTACTTAACAGTCTTAGTACATAACATCAAAAGGTTGAACAGAGGTTTTGCAAAATGACTTAACAGTCTCAGTATATAACGTCAAAAGGTTGAACAGAGGTTTTGCAAAATACATCATACCGTAATTCACATAACAGAATGGTTTCATAACAGGGATCACTACATTCTCCTCATCTGCTACTCCTTTCCCTTGCTTTCAAGTAATGCAAGCAAGAATGACCTCATTTTTGGTCACCATTTATCATGCCAATAGTTTAACCTATATGTGAAAAGAGATGAGGTAATTCTTGTATGCATGATTTGAAACTAAGGGAAGACATGGATGAAAAAGGGAATGTGGTGATCTCATATGGAATCATTCTGAGTTGTAAATAATTATGTATTTTGCAAATTTACTGTCCAAGTGTTTGATGTTCTGTATTCTGAGACTGTGAAGTACCTTTCCATGTTATTTTTCTATAAAAAGTTTTTCAGAAACTTAGCAGTCTGAAGCCTTAAGTGAGAAAGGGGCTTCACAGCAAACCATAATCACAGTGCTTTGCTTTTGCCGTCTCCCCCACCCTAGTCCTGAATATCACATATCTACTGCTTACATTAGAGAAACACCACCTACAGACTCAGCCCCTATCTTTATAAGAATGTATCACAACTATAGCACAGGAATAAGTGCATTCAACTCATTCTGACTTTAAAAAGTAAAAGCCCCCAAGTGGCAGAGAGAAAATACCACTTTGGGAGCAAAAAAGGGATAGGCAAATCTGGCTCAGCCTTTGTGTCATGCAGTCAGTAAAAACTACTTTGAATTCATCCATTTTATAAGCAGGGCAAATTCTGCAGTATTTGACCATGTTAATTGCACTCTGAGTGCCATTTCTTTAATTTATTAGATAACAAAACAAATCCACACACATGTAGGATCGGAAGAAGACATTCCTGGTCAATATAAACTCTGCTAACTCTTTTTTTTCCAAATCCTGCAATTTCTACACTAGTTTGGGATCAGGCTGTGAAGCAAAACAGAACAGAACAGAGAGGTTATTATATGTGTGTGTGTGTTTGCAGTAGATATCCCTTTGCGTGAGAGGACAGGAGGTGGAAAGTGCCAATTTGAAGAGATTGCTTGTTCCACTTTCTGAGACTTTTGTTTTGGAAATGGTGCTCCCATGCCTGGCTGGAAAGCAGGGAGAGCTATCACATACGCTAAATATGAAATGGGGAAGAAATATATCCCTACAGGCCCAAACAATTCTAGGTTTTGTAGGAAAGGATAATAGGTGGGGTGGGGGGGATATAGTACCGTCTTCAACCTTCTGTTATTCCCAGTGTTTTGCCAGAGTGTTTGGCTGACATTAGTTTTAGAAAGAGGCAAAATGAGTATAAGGAAAATACCAGAGTGCCTGTCTCCATCTCTCATCTCCATCTTCTTACAGCTGGTTGCCACAGCAACCACATACCTATGTGTATGTCTCTTTTTTCATCCTGCAGGTTGGGTACCGCCTAATACCTGATTCCAATTTCTTTGGTTCTATATATCCCACAGAGCTAAATATAGGCTTATGACCTTGCAGTTCTTAGTCCAGATGTTGCATGAGGTCACCAGAATATAAATAAGGGTGTGTCATTGTGTGCAAACAGTTTTGGCAGAGGAGTAGAAATTTCTCATAACATAATGTTTAGAAGTGCTCCTTAAATCATGGGCTATTTCCCCTTTTTTTTCTCCCCTCTTTTCATTCCCATATACAATTAATTCATTTTTTCCTTTGGTTGTGCAAACCTTCCTTCTTCCATCTTAGCATCTGTTTCCAGTAGTTAGTTTCTACATTTGGAGCTGTTAGGGTTCATTCCTGCTATCCCCCCACATGAGACCC